AATCCTTTCTCCATTAATAAATCTAAGAAGCCCAGCTTCAAATTAGTCCCCAGTTATAAAGACATGAAGGAACCACAGGGATAATGAAGTCCATATTATACTTGGCCAGAGTACACTAAATTTATATCCCACCTTTACCAACTGTGGGAAATGCCGACTCTCTTGGAGTCGCAGCATCTTCATCTGTAAAATGGAAATACTAGTGTCTACTTCATATATGTGGAATTATAACCAAGAGGCTGACAGGTATAAAATGCAAAATATGCTGTCAGGCTGACAGGGGATATTTTAATAAATGCTACTTTTGTTCCTCCCCTACCCTGTAAATGGATTAAAAACAAAGAAACAAGTAAGAATAAAAAGTTACTTTCCACCAGAGCCCATGAATGCTGTGAATCAGGTAAAGTTTTTAGTGCCTATAGACTTCCCCTCAGTTATAAAATATCTTCCTGCTCTTTCTAGCTTCCAGTTCTGGGAGAACATTGAATCAATCCATTCATACAAAATGCTTCTAATGGAATAATTGATTCAATACTTTCCTTTCACAACTCTATAGACATAAAACTCTACTGAGTTCTAGCTTTTTAAATTCCTTTGATATTTTCCTTTGATGATAAGCAATCTGCTTTTTATAATGCTCTCATCTGGAAGCATCCAGCACTTTTTCCACTTTATTTGAAGTACTAAAAATGTCAACAAGTACAGTCAACGCTCATTATGTGAGGCCACTCAACATCTGTGATCACCCTCCTTATAAATATATTGAGTAATGAGGCACAATGTGGATCCCACCTTCCCAAGCAAAACAGAAGCCAGAAATCCTCTCATCGTCCCACTTTCTTCCAGCCAAAGTTCTAGCACATAACTGAGGTTCCGCCAATTAGCAGCAACCTCAACGAATGGAATGGGAGTAAGCGTAATGGGGAAGGGGAGCTGCACCCAGGAGAATCACCTTTTAACCAAAGTGGCGCTCACTCTGCTTGGTTCCTTGTGGGGCGATGGTGGTGGAGCGCTGGACTGTGAAAGCTGCTCAGTCCCAAAGAAATCAAGGCAGCTGAGCATTATTTCTCACCGCTTCCAGGCCTGTGAGAGAGTTTTCGGCTACAGAATACTCTTTTTAATAAGAGTATTTATTTCTGGCAAGAATGAATTCTTTCATTTGCAACAAAAAACTGTGACTCATACGTGAAGACAAGTTTAGGCACAGATCTATTTTCATCAATTTTGCTTTCAATATGATGACTGAAGGCTTCATCCTATCTTGGAAATTTTCTCTATTTGTTGATAATCACTTATCTGCTCTATGCTCTTCTTTAGAAATTTTCTACTTATATATACAAAATATATGCATATATAAATTGATATATAAATACATACATTTAATTATATACACATATTTATATATACACAGATAAATAAAACTATGTAGCACATATTGTGTATAAATTATATATGAGTGTATATAACTACATATGCATACCTGTATACTATATATAATTATGGAAACATATATACAATTACAAGTGTGTACAGTGTTCTCAATCTATCCTTTAATCTTTTATCCCTTCAGTTATCACTTTCATGTCTTTAGTATTTTCCATTAATTTCTGGGACAATACTTCTACTTAAATGATCACTCTATTAGTTATACATTGCCTCTACCCCATCATAAATTTGGAGATCCTATTAATCTCTTAGCAATCTTTCCAACTACTTATTTTATTTTCACAGGTAATATATTGTATCAGTTAAGATAGGTTAGGTTAAACTCTCATTATTAAACACATCCCAAATCTTAGTGAATTAAGACAACAAAGTTTACTTCTCACTCTAACGCAGGTGAGAAGGGAAGTTTGTCCCCCTATGGTCATTTCAGGATCTATTTTCATAATTTCCAAGGCAGAAGAAGGGGAAAACACTGGCTCTTACACAAGGGACATACGTCACGTTCACACACGTTCAATGACCCAGACAAGACCCATGAAGGTCTTTAACTTGGAAAACGGCAGGAAAGTGCAATCCTCCTTTGTTTCTCGAAGGTGGAAAGCCAATCGGACTCCCACTCTTGTGATTCGTCCTGCTATTATGCATAATAGATGTACTAAGTGGTTCTTCGGTTTTTCATGTAAATCTCACTGCTTTGGTGAGAGGCCTTTACTTAGATACATCTGATTTGTCGCTCTTATCTGAACTGCCAAAGTGAAATCATGTATTTAAAAACTTTCTGTGTACGTATTCTACAGAGAAAGATCCCTATCCATTATTGAGAATTGAAATGGGTCTGTTAGAAATTTCTCAAATCTCAAGCCCCTTGAAGGTTCTGTAAGATAAAGATTTTCCCCTTGATGGGTGGCCCCAGGCTCCCTTATCTCTTCCAATCTCAACTCTTTTTTCTTTTTGCATTTGGGATGAACAGTTTTTTTCCTCATTAATAGATTATTTGGGCCATTTTTATTGGGAATTAGCAAGGAAAGGGAAGTTAAATTAGTGTTCTCAAACCATACCTTGACTGTAACATTTCCTAAATAGCTGATTTTGAATATTAGGTCAACTATTAATCCAGCTAACCAAGACACAACCAGGGAGACATCTGTCCTTTCCCTCACATCCAGTTGGCCACTAAACCTTGCCAATTTTGTCTCCTAAGTATTTTGGAAAAGAACAGAGCTCTTGAAGGAAGAATTAACATCAAACTCAATTTAGGACAATTTTGCATCCCCAGGGAAAATGTTATGTGTAACATTAAACGGGCAAAATCTTGATAGCTAACCATTTTAATAAGGTTGCATTCAAGGGAAAACCAATAACCATTCTTACTTCTTTTAGCAAACCAAGTTCTAAATGTTCTTGATTAAAAGGGAAAGAGGTTGGACAGTAAGCACTCAAGAAATAGTTGAATTTGACAGAACCCCAAAAAACAAGAAAACTAAGTGAAAACATTTTTGGGGACTGCCATCAAGTTATATAGAAGAATATGACCAGGCTGCTGTGGCCATACTTGTATCGATACATATAGGGAGGTGCTGACTGACTGCAACTTAACCAGGAACGCAGAACGCAGAAGGCTAGAGAGAAGGTTCGGGAAAATAAATCATAAACATTCCCACATCGTCAATGCATAACAAAAACTTTCCATTGGTTTCTAGTATTATGGTAACTAAGGAAAAGTTGCAAGTGATATATTTAACTAGGACATTTTTTATAACATCCTTATAATGGGTTTCCATTTGCAAACCTTGAATTTCTGATACTGATTTAATATGTAGCAAAACATCTTGTTCGTGAAAGTATCTATTATGATTAAGATGAATTAGCCTGTAGAATCTTGTGCATTCCCATCATTACAAATGGTCTTTTGTGACTAAAAGCAGTGTTTTATTCATGAAGAACAAAAAGATCTCCCCCTAATATAGTACCTAACTTTGTCATGCAGATTATGGTATCTTTTAAAAATTATTTTCCCATTGAAGGTTCTTGCAAATTGGCAACAGTTTATTTTATAAATATACCAACACTCAGTGGAATCCTGACTTCTCTTTGTAGGTATCAGCTTTAGGAATGTTAAATATTGGTATGCAGTGAGGGGATTCAAAAGAAAACTTGTAGTACACTCCTCTTAAACAGACTTTGGGTTTCTTATTTAAAACATAAAAAAGCCAAGTAGGAAGCCACTGAGATACAGTTATAACAACAGTCTCAGATTATAAATCCAAAGTAATCTATAAACCTTGTTCTATATATTGGTTCCTGGGGGACAGGTAGAAATATGTGGTTATAAAAGTACAACACAAGGAACTCATGCAATGATGAAAACAGTCTGTATTCTGGCTGTGGTGATGGATCCGCAAGCTACACATGTGATAAAAGTGTGCAGAACTAAACACACACACACAGGAGTACCGGGGAAACACAATCAGACCAGTGGGTTGTATCAATGTCAATATCCGGATTTTGATATTGCATGGTAGTTCTACAAGATATTACCACTGGGGAAATTGGATAAATGGTACAGGGACCTTTTGTGTTATTTCTTATAACTGCATGCAAATCTACAATGATCTCAAAATAAAAAGTAAAAAAAAGTTCCGCTACTTATCTTGAAAGTTCATGTTTTAAAACCATACAAATGTGAATCAGCTCTCCAGTTATTTTCCTTCCCTTGTAAGAGTAATCTACATAATTACAAATTTATCTCTGGAAGTCACACATTGAGCCAATCGTATGAATGTCACCTAATGACGCGTTTAGGTGATTTAATAGAGTGAAATTCAGGTAAGGGGGTATTCATGTTTCTCACAGAACAAATGATGTTTTTTAAACAACTACATAAATTATGTCAGTTTCTTAAAAACATCCACCTTTAGCCTAAACCCCACTTAAGGATGAACTTTCTTTTTATAGTCACAACAAAAATTGTTGATCTGCCTTTAATTGTTTCACTATTATTCTAATAGCCTTCCTAATCATCTTTCTGAAAATAGAAGCACTAAAGGTCTGAAGATGTACTGTTTCAATGCACAGCGACAGTGCTAATTATAGGGCCATTTTGAGAATTTGATAGGCCTAAAGAATATTTGCAGCGTTTGATAATCTTCTCCACTATGGAATGTAATCAAATGTCTCCACATGGCACATTCGACGTAATAAAAAAACACAAATGTTGAGATACAATAGAGTAACTGACATAATGTTTGGAGATATTTAATTAGACAGTTATTAATTTCAATTATGCAATTTTCTTTTTGTATTTTATGGCCAATAATTTTTGATGGGAAGGGAAAAGGGGGGCACTCAATAATTTTCAGAGTCCTGAAAGCTCATATGCCCTGAATAATGTGCATATAAACTAGAATGGAAAAAAAAAATAGTCCTGATTTTTAACATGGCTAAGCAGAATAATTCACTTTATAAATGGAATGAGGTGGCATGATGGGGAATTAACAGAATTAACTGCTTTCCTAAAGCCACAGTGCTGGTCTTTTACAGTAACAAAAACTAACCTGAGCATGTGGGCAGCATTGAAGACCACGTCAAACTCCGTGCTGTCCAGTTCAGCTGCTTTTTTTGCCATCTCAGCTGCTTCTATGAGGCGAGATTCTTCCAGAAGAAATTGACCTGCAAAGTATGAAAGCAGGAGAGCTTCAACTTAGAAAATAATAATCCTGTGAAACAAATAAAGCTGCTACAGATAAAAATATAAAAACAATGATTAAGGTGATGTGAAGCTAAGATTTACCTATGCTATATACCTACATTAACAATCCTCTATAGACTGTTGAAGCAAGAGATAAAATGAACAAAAGATATATCACAAATAACAAACAAAAGATATATCATATTATGTAAAAATGTAAAAAACTATATACAAAACTGTAAAGACTAATGGGAAGATTAATGTTTTCTTTTCTTTCCAGTTTTATTGAGAAATAATTGACACATATCACTGTCTAAGTTTAAGGTATACAGCGTGATGGTTTTATTTACATCTATTGTGAAATGATTACCAAAGTTTTCGAATGGTCCAAGTGTTTGAGATTTAAGACCCTCTATTAGGCCTACTGCTGAATCAGCAGCTCAGGTGCAGTATATCTCAGGAAGCCACCAGTCAACTGGCTTAAACATTCACCTCTAAATTCATTATATGTTGCACCAGTAGTATAAAATTTTATTATTAGCTATAAATCTCTGAGCTCCTAGGATGATAGGTCCTTTCTAGAAAGAAAAAGATATTTACAAATGTGAGTTTAGTTGATTTTAATTACTGGTCCTTTAAAATAGCTTTTGTCTCTGACATGCACATGCACGAACAGGGCTATGCATACTGAGATATCTTAATTCCTTATGTTTAAGTAACAGTAAAATTATTAAAAGAGCGTAGAAAGGTCGGCTTAGCTCTTAATTAGATTGTTAATTAGACTGACTAACAAACATGGAAGAAATATTAGCCAATTCAGATTTTTGAGTTTACTTTCAGGCCAGCTCTACAAGGTTAAACTTATTGCAGATAGAGCCACACAAGTCTTTAAAGTGGTAGCTCAAGAGTTGTTATATAATGCTATCCCAGAGTCATACTGTAAAAACAAAGAAACAAAAAACACATAAAAGTTGAGCCCAATTTTAAGGCCGTAAATATGCAAACAGAGAGAATAGGCTGCTTTTTTAAAGCTGGGAATTTATTAACAGGAAAAGTAATGAATTTAAGCCTTATCTGATACACCTTTTCAAATGATGACAGAGACACGCAGAAACCATCCCACAGGCTTACAGAGTTGCTAATGATTATTTCGTTTTGCTTGGGGTTTCCTGTTAGCAGTATAAAAAATAGCTATAAAAATGATTTCCAAGTCCTGAGCTTCACACAGAAACAGAAAAAATTAAAAATGGTAAATCCTCCCAGGTGGCTGTTGGCAAAGCCTATTAGTTACTGTTCATCTAATAAATATTACAAATTGTCTTCTAACCCCAAAAGACCAGACCTTAATATACAGAGTGTCCCCCAAACACTTTAACAGCTGATGGCTCAGCTGATGTTTCTTTTCAGCCAGACGAACCTTTGAACAAAGGAAATTCATCCTAAAATGCCACTGGAAGTTCGAAAACGCAGTTGAAGCACAAACGCTGCCTTCACAGTTATTCAAAGTGTGTATACATTTTTTGGGGGAAACCCTGTGCATACAAAATTTAACAGCTCATAACTCACTTAATTTTCACTCCTTTTCAGGCTTCACTGATTTGAAATAATGGGGGAAGCCAGACTAAGCTTTGAACAAAGAAACACTTATCTGCTAGACTTTTTTTATGGGGATACATAAAAGATAAAGTTTACGGTACAAAACCGGCAACCGCTGACAAATTGAGGGCGCACAAATACTGAACAAAATGATCCTTGATGTTTGTGATCCCATTGCTTCGCGTTATCAGCAGGGCCTGGACCAGAACGGTCATCAGTTTGAAAACGGGCATTGACAAAAAAATTATTCATTTCTGTAGATTCTTTTAAATTTTGAAAATGAACTGTATGTTAATAAATACTGACTCTATAATCATTCAAAGTGTGTACACATTTTTGGGGACACCCTGTATAAGGGGACATTTTCTGCTTTAAGGATTGTGCTAAACAGAGCAACTGCCTGTAGTTAAGCATTTCTAATCTTCAACTGGTAAAGGATGGTGAGTAAAGATAAGCCTAGGATTTCAAGCCTACATTTTTAAATAAAGTCACAGTTTTAAGACCAGCACTTGGAGACCCATCAGCTACTTCTACAAAACACTTTATATCACTTTCTTAGTTTGTCCCCTAACATTCTGTGCCTTTCTCATCCACCAAAACAAACATAATTGTTGGGTTAGAAAATTACTAAGGAAATGGGGCTGTAAATAGTTATATTTATAAATAGAAAAATACCTTACTTATGAAATTCATGCATGTGCTAACTCTACAAATATGTTGACATGACATTCAATTTAAAGTATACATGTTTTAAAAAAAGTAAAACAAGGATTAGACAATGTGTAGCATACTGAATAATCACCGTCTCCGCACATATATTAGTAAAGAATACCAGGCAAAACCCATTATTTAGTTAGTTATGCTTATTATAGATTGTTTAAATTAAAATGTAATATTAACTGCTACCTGTCTTCAAAGCATAATATTTACCCAAATAAATGCATTAGTAAATATATCAGTTACTTATGTGATATTTAAACAAAAGATAATACAGGAGTTATTGTATTTTTCCTTTATAGACTGTTATTCACTCTGCATGTATTCTGTTATTAATAGTTAAAAATGCTACAATTAATTGAATAATGGAAGTTATTTTCTTAAAATTCACTACTCTAGACAGTAGAGGGAAAGGCAGATATATTAGCTCAGGGGGAAAAAAAGAGAGAAAAGGACATGATACGTGTACTGTCCACAAAGAGAGGGACAGTGACAAGAAGCTGTGTGATAAAGGTAATGATAGTGGCATAAGAGGTGCATTTATATGCAATGCCATGCCCCAGGGCAACACTTTTCAAAGATTTTTTTGTTGATTTTTTTTTAGAGAGAGAAGAAGGGAGAGGGAGAGAGAAACATCCACGGGCTGCCTCCTGCACATCCCCTAACGGGGGGTGGAGCCCACAACCCAGACATGTGCCCTGACCGGGCTTGAAGCTGCACCTTTCCGAGCACAGGCTAATGCCCAGCCCACTGAGCCACACCAGCCAGGAACCACGGCAAAGCTTTTTAAGCTTTGTTAATGTTAAACACATCTTTAACTGTTCAAAAACAACCACAAAAGGATAACACTAACTGTAAAATCAAATATACAATTCTTATAATCAAATATACAATTTTATCATAATTTTTACTTATGCTTTAAGTGTGCTTTGCCATGCAACATGCTTTTTGTAAACAGCTTGCAAGTTCCCAAAACAACACGAAACATGTAATTTTTTTATTGTATATGGTGATAGAAATAATTCTCATATAATAATTTTATAATGGTAGAATTCATTCATCATATTAACACTCAGAAAAACAATATCACAACGTATCAGTTAGGTATTTGCATAATTCTCCCCATTCTGTTCTTGACAGGTCATATATCTCAATAGTCCAGCATTGATATTCTGTTATGATTAAGGCATAAAATATTCTGAAGTGTAAATTGTTTGGTATCTATTTTTTAACTGAATTTAAAAATATGAACTGAAGTTGAAAGTAAATTCTTCTTCTTCTATGTTTACAATGATTATTTGTTTGAAATATAGCCCAGAACTGATGAAAAATCTAGCAATAAGCATTTCAAATACATAGAACCAACATAAATTGGGAAACAAAGATATAATATGCTCCTTCTTAATATCTATCCAAATTGATATGTTATTGGGAAAATAATAAGGAACAAAATTTGCCCTACTCCTTCCAGAAGACTTTACCTCAAATCCCTCCTCTTCAACCAACTTCAATTATTATTGCTCCCACCAGAAACAGGCTCGTGTCTGTGAACTGCTTAAACTTTGCTTAGTGTAACCTGCTGCTTCACAGCCTTATTTATCGTGGACTCTCAGCCTCTAAGATTTCTCTCCACCCCCCCTCCAGTCCTGTCTGGCCTACCTACCGTAACTGGACATCTTTCATTTCTATGCCCAAAACATGTCCTTCTTGGTGAGTCCTTCTTTGACCATTTTCCAACAGTGTTAGAATCACTAGTGATTTAAATTCATTGTAAAATAAGTTACCATCTAAACCAAAGCACTTAAAAGAATAAGAGGGGATGGTATTATTACGCTGGAACAAGGGCTATAAACCAGATTGTCCCAATACGGCCACCCCACTCACAGTACAAGAGGCAGAATGTGGATGTCAATTCTCTCATCTCGATTGCTCTTGGGAAGTAAACTGTTCTACACAATAAGGCATTGAATCCTCACAAGGGAAAGTCATCGATTTTAGTAAGTGAGAAATAGGTGCTCTTTACCAAAGAATATAAAATAAAGGTCTATTGTTGTACCCACAAAGAATGAGCCAGGTCCTGGGGCTTGGTGTTCAGAAGCAGTTACTGGGGCTCCGAGAGTAAGTGACTACAAGACGGAGTCAGGACAAGACGGGGAGTGAGGAGGGTTAGGAAAGGAAAGCAAGAAAACCTGAGGAAGGCAGGCACTCAGGGGAGTCCCCCACACGGGTAGATTCTGCAAGACCTGAGAGGGCATCTTTCCCAGAGGTTCTCAAGCACCTGGAGGACTGGCTGAAGCAGGGAGCTGGGCCCCGTTTCAGATTTAGTGGGTCTGGGGGAAAGCATGCGATTTGCATTTTTAACTAGTTGTCAGCTGATGCTGCTAGTCCCATGCTCAGTTTGAAGACCAGTCTCTTACGAAAACAACAAAATAAATGTTTTGCACCATGCTCTGGACTCCCTGTCTGGGGTTAGCTTCCAGTTGGACTGAGCTCTTCTGGTTAATCAGCTGCGTGTGCCACGCTCTTCCCTAAATCACAGGTATAATGACCAGCCTGCACATACGTACGTGTGTAGATAGGATACGTATGTATGACTAAGGCATACTCATTAAATATAAGATTACTCTTTTAAACTTTTGAAATAAGGAGATTTAAGAGTTTTATCCCT